CAGCAGATGGAGGCACTTGCAGCAGAAAACAAGCAAAAAATGAAGGCATTTCATACTATTTCAAATCACTGAGATGACAAAGGTTTGGAAAACTGCTTGGCTTTTCCTTGCAGGAAGAGGCTGAAGGTAAAGATGCTCCTTCTGAGCAGATCCAGGCCAGGAGCTTCACTTCAAACTTCACAAGCTAGTCAGGACCAGTCCAGATCAAGGTCTGAGGGTGCCCTCGGCTGCAGCAGACCAAAGCTGTGCATCCCCATGGCTAGCTCTGCCAGTCAGCAACTGTCCCTCGAAAGGCATTTCTTCAGCCAGCAGCCGTTAAAGCTCCTTCTCCAAGCCTGCTTAGCAATATTATTCCCTGTCTGCTTCACAGTATCCTGCCCTTTGATACAAGGATGCCAAAAAAGTATTTGGGAAAACCACATATCCAATATGGGATAATAACATTTAATGCACAGCTTAACCTTGGACAGCTCAGGGCTGCTGGGGCGAAATCTGTGCAGCCCTTTCATTTTGCACAGTCTTCAGGCACCTGGTCCATTAGCGAATTTTTCAGAGCTATGTAGGTTAAAACAATTCAATGAGAAAAACAGAAAGAAGCAGTCAAAAGAAGAAAAACCTAATTTTTGAGCAGACATACACAGTAGGTCAAATGGCCTAAGGGAAATATTTAATTTTAGAGTCATACTATTTCTACCAAGTTTCCTAACCAAAAGTATTTTCATCAGGAGCACTACTCTTGATCTGGTTACTGCTAATGATTTTCCCCATGGACTTAGCTCATAAAAACATAAATTGCTTTATGAATCATAGAATCATAGAAGTTGGAGAAGAAAATGATGGGTTAGGTCATCTTGCCCTTCTCTCTGACGGTGCAGTATTTATTTCTTTTTATAAAAAAAAGAAAGAAAGAAAGAAAATAAGCGTTTCTGAAAAGCTGGAGAATTAAAATACTAAGTTTAAAAGAGATTTTTCAAAATACATAACAAAGACAGCAGAGGAAGAGCCAGATTCTTAAGTACCTTGGCTCACTCTACAAACCCTGAAAATTTGATGAGAAGAATCATCTGGATAGGCACAGTCAGAAACTCAGTGGCAAAAAAAAAAAGGCAATGCTATAAGCAACTCACACAAGTAATTACCACAGTTGTAAATACAAATATTATAGTTATATATGCAAATAGGCTGATGGGCAAAGAGCTGCCCGTAGACTGTACATTGTGACCAAATGCATGGCATGACATGCAAGAATCCACAGTCTGAAAACCAAAGACAGGACTTGCTTCAGAGAGGGGTGGTGCGCATGTACAAAGATACACATTGTGCTATAGTTGCCTGTTGTGACATCTCCACACATCAGAGTGAGCCAAAAAGTCTATGCTTTGTATGCTTGCCTTCAGAGCCCTTGGTCTGAGCATTTTTCTCCTTGCCAAGAATGGCTTCAAATGCTGCTTTGCATTACTTTCTGAAGTTTCTCCCAAACATGCATAGCTTAAGAAGCTGTCCTTTATCATTAAAAAAAAAAAGATTTTAGAACCCTTTTGATTCTGGCTTAGAAATTGTTCTTATTCTGTCCTTCTCTAATGACAAAAGAACGTGTTTCTATTATTTCTGAAGTTAATCTGTCTAAAGGTTTGGCGTTCTTTTTTAATTATTATTTTTTTTCTACAACCTATTAATTTCACTGAAAATTGTTCTGTTACAAAGCTTTAACCCTTATCTCAAAAATGGCATCTTACCTCCCAGTATTTTTTATAGGCCATGCTCATTAGAATCCAGCCTATCTGCAACCACTACAAACATAAAGTAAATGAATCAATGTTTATTACTACAGTTGGCTGTGGAAGTAAGCATGGTTTTTCCAGAGGTCTGCAAGACAGCAGTATCTAATTTTGTTCCTAGTGTTCTCTTTCCCACATTTCTTCTGAATCAGGGTATGTTAGAAAACACAAGTCAGTATTTCTGGAATTCCTGCAGCTCAGGTGAGAGACTGAGTTATGGATCTGTATCATAGAATCACAGAATCACAGAATCATAGAATCACAGAATCACAGAATGGCCTGGGTTGAAAAGGACCACAATGATCATCCAGTTTCAACCCCCTGCCGTGTGCAGGGTCGCCAACCAGCAGACCAGGCTGCCCAGAGCCACATCCAGCCTGGCCTTGAATGCCTGCAGGGATGGGGCATCCACAGCCTCCTTGGGCAACCTGTTCCAGTGCCTCACCACCCTCTGTGTGAAAAACTTCCTCCTAACATCTAACCTAACCCTCCCCTATCTCAGTATAAAATCATTCCCCATGTAGACATGGAAGTTCCCAAATAGTGATCAGTGATGAACTGTTTATATCCCAGTTTTATTTTGATTCTAGCCTGCATGCAAGAAGGCTGATATCATTTTAAATCCATTCAATACATGGCATGCATCTACTGATACGTTCAACCTCAAATCCTGTGCAGATAACAGCCACACTATCTATTTTGGTACATGCTACAGACGTACCTTGATCTAATCAAAGCAGTGCAGAACAGAATACACTCACTGAAGGGATAAAAAAAACACGTATAGCCCTAAACAGCAGGTCTCTCTCAGAGACATAATGGCTATTTGGAGAGAATTAATTCTGAGTTTAATTACTAAAAACTGGTGAATGGGTGACAGTTGGGAAAACTGAGCTGTGGTCAGGGTTGTTCCAAACATGTGAGGAACAAGGAAGGGAGAAAGGTCTGGGTACCACTTTTTCCCTCCTTTGTAGCACTTTATCCTTTTAAGCCACATTATTATTTCAGTCAAACATAAATAAAGACAGCAGAGACCATATTGAGCTTGGAAAAGAGAAGGTTTCGGGCAGACCTCCCCGTGTCCTTCCAATACTTGAAGGGAGCTTATAAGTAGGAGGGGGAGCAACTTTTTAAATGGCCTGGCAGTGATAGGGCAAGAGGGAATGGCTTTAAACTAAAAGAAGGGAAATTTAGGTTAGATGTTAGAAGGAAATCCTTTCCTCAGAGGATGGTGAGGCGCTGGCACAGCTGCCCAGAAAAGCTGTGGTGCCCCATCCCTGGAGGTGCTCAAGGCCAGGTTGGATGGGGCCCTGGGCAGCCTGAGTTGGGGTGTGTGGGCTTTGAGCTCCCTTCCAACCCAAACCATTCTGTGATTCTATGATTGCAACAGCTGCCACAGTTCCTAAGCTGGTGTGGAGTCAGGCTACAGGACCTTGCAGCCCACTTAGAAGTGAAAAGGAGCAGAATTCCGTCCACACTGCATTATGAGTGACTTAGCAATAAAAGGAGCTGTGCACTCCTGCCAAGGAGCTGACCTCTGCTCATGGCACATGTAAAGCCTCCTTGAGTACGGAACTCCTTTGTACTTCTGGGTTGCCCATGACAAAATGAAATCATTTACAAGGAAGCTTTTACATACATTTGAGTTGGGGAGATACGAGTATTGCTTCAGTATATATTATATTTCTACTTCCTTTTTAAAATGTAGAATCTTATTAAATATTAACTACTATACCAACTGAAGAATTGATTTAAAACAGTAGGGTATGCCTGCAGGATGATTTTGTGTCTTACTATTCTAGCAGACTCGTATTTAAAAAAACAAAGCTTATTTGTTGTATGCAAACTGTGAACACGTCCAGGTAATTACACATGCAAACCTGGAGCTTGCATATACAAATATCTATTTTATGTGCACAGCTGTGAACCCAGTGCCTGGTTCATGAGGGATATTTTTCAGGGACAATTCTTTAAGTTTAAAGAAAAAAAAAACCAAAATCAACACAAATACCAACTAAAGAAGAAGCATTATCCTGGCAGCATTTAAAAAATATAAAAAATTTAAAAATAAAAAACGTAGGTAAGATTTTTTCCATTCAATGCATGCAGCATCATGACACAACTCAGGCAAATGAAGGCTCCATTAAAAAAATGCATATGAAAGTCAGCAGTTTTCTAAGTTATTTAAACTCAAGTTTCAAACTCTTCTTTTGCACCACTCAGTTAAAGTAGCCCCGAGCTGCATGTCTCATTCCCTAGTGGGTGTTTGAATCTTACTGCTTTCTTCTCCCAGGACGACTCCACTTAAGCAACAGCCAGAACTTCTGCCAAGTGTGCAGAAGGAGTGAAAAACTAACCACAAACCTCAACTAACATCAGGGCATTTTGATAGAAATATGAAAATTCCACATTCTGAGGTTAAAGATTGCCTGCGGTAACAGGCAGAGCATACGCCAGAGAAGCACCTACATCTGCCTACCTGTGCAACCCTCACTTCCCCCAAAACAAAGCAACCTTCCCCCTCTGACCTAACGAAAACAACCGCATGCGTGAGCAGTGTGGATATTCCCCTGGGATATCAAATCATTCGTCTTCTCCTTAAGCTTCATTCTTAAAAAAGAAAAAAAAGAAAAAAAAAAGGAAACATTGCCTGTCTGTGAGAAGGGGTGTCCCACTGGGGTAATTGCATCTGCTTGTTGGAAGCATCTCTCTCAGCAATTACTGCTTTCCCAAGTTGTACAGTGGAATGAAGCACAGTGAACTCTACAAGGGAGAAACCAGGTGTTTCTCCCCTCAGACATTTATTTATTTCTTCAGGGTGGCTGAGTTTGAAGACTTAGATCAATGACGTATTGGTTTCCAATACTTGAAAACCCTCTGAGCATCTGAAAGATGAGACTAGCAAGAAATGTGCATAAGGTATATGCTGCCCACTTTTTACCAACATGCCTTTTGTCAGCTTTTGGGTACAATCCAAACCATCCTTAGGTAGATACTTTATAAATGCAAAGTAATTCATATTCTAGATCAAATGGACACCCATGAAAAATAAACCTTCAGGAAGGCATTAATTAAAACCACTCATAGGACAGCCTTGGCTTGAGGCACACCCACTGATCCACATGCACTGGGTGCTGTTGCACTGCATACAGCTGGTGATGGAATGCCTGAGCTAAATAATCAACACGACCTTCTGCAAATGTTTCTTTTTAGTCCACTTACTTCTGGGTTCGCGTGGTCCATCCACTGTTATCTTGATGGCTCTGTGGTACGTGGCTACTTGTGGAGGGTTTGTGAAGACTGTGATAGTCAGTGTGAAGCTTTTCCCTGCAAAAGGAGAGAAGGTTACTGAACATATGTATTGAGAACAGGTTGTCCTTTCAAACAGAATCAGGACACACCAAATGACACTAACCACTAGCTGTCCATATCTGCAGACAGATATGAAGCAGCATGGGCTTACTTCTGTCTGCTGCTGGATGCATTCCCTTTGTGGCAACTGCTCAAAGCATTTGGAAAAAAAAATCAATTTATATGTAAATGTTCTACACTTTGTTTGCAAAATAAGGAGGTTACCCTTAACAGTTACAGTTTATCTGATCTACTAGACTACTGGTGCATTATCTGAACTTTTTAAAGGCAGCTAGTTCAGAGAGGCTTAGAAATTGTGGTTGACTCTTCCAAAACTGCCACGGGAATTTGATCAAAAATGCTTGTAAAATTAAAGAGAACTGGGTACTCATGTCCCTGAGGCAGGCCGTAAGATTCCATGCTTTGTGGTTGAAGCTAGTATTAGATCAATTCCATATTATGAACCAGAATCCTTTAAAAATAATCTGCTCCTGCAATGCCAAGAAACAAGGGAATGGAAAAAATTAAAAAATCCCTACAGCCTGTCCACAGAGAATTAAAACATCTTATGAAGACATAGCAGAGCATTACGCTCAGTTTCTCTATTATTCAATAAGAAAACTGTGAAAGCCTTTTCTAAACTGTTGTGCGCATGCCACAGCTATGAGTTCTGAAAAGAGTCCATCTGGACAGCTGCTGGGGAGGCGGGATGATTTTGTATCCCCCTGTGACCATGAGGCATTCAAACCCTGCTACCTCTGGACCTGTTTTTGGACAATTCCAGTACTACTTCAGGCATTTTTTCAATAACAAAAGTAATTTTCTTTATCTTTGATAAGATCTCGTGTTTGTATTTATCATGGCTTTGGCCTGGACAGCGATAAAAAAATTGGCTGTTGGCAGGTTTGGCATCCTTATCTCAGCATTATGGAGGTCTCAGATACTGGTATCTTCATTATCAGTCAGAGACAATAAGGGCCATCACCCTAAGTTAGATTACAAGGAACTGTTGCAAGAAAATTGAGGTTCTTTTCCTCCGGGTACATACAGCTCTGTCTGTTCCATTTCACTGCTTGGCTCCAGCCCCCCCTGAAGGCTGAGCCTCTTCCCTTATAAGACCTCCCATTTTTACAATTTGCCTGGTTTATCTGTATAAATGTAAATACAAGTACAAATGCCTGCCTCCAGCAGCAACATATTCAACCCTTTCCCTATGCACATTTACTTGCAATTCAATACTTCTCTTAATGCAGTTCCTACTTTGGTGCTAATGGTCTGCATCAACATTACAGCGGGCACACACACATATAACTGTTACTGGAAACCGTCCTCATCACAGCCCGGTGAATTAGAGAGGTATTCTCCCCACTTCACAGACGAGGAACTGTGGGGAGATAAAGTGCCTTGGCCAAGATCTAACAGGAAGCCTGTGGCCAGCGATGCTAACCACTTTGGCTGCTGCAACTAAATCCGACAATAATCCTGAATCACAGCCCTGAGCAAACAGAAGCTGAAACACAACCCTCCCCAGACTGCAGGCCACTATCTTCCCACCTTCACATCCTCACTAGAAAGCACTCCCTCAATCAAAAGAACTACAACAGCAGCAAAAGTAATTTTAAATCCCTGTTTGAGGGCCCTTAGCCCTCAACTCTTGGGTTCTACATCTACCAAGACCAAGGATCACCATGCTCCTGGCTATTTCTAGATGCTAAATTACAAGATAAAGCTTTGCTGACATTTTTACACTTGTAGACCAGATTTTTCTGTAAGGCAACAGGAGTAAAGTTCAGTAAGCTTTCTTCTGAAAAAAACTCTAATTACACTCATATATCAGAGAGGTGCCTGTAGATCTTCCTTCTAGCAAAAAAAAAAAAAATTCCCTGTATTATTATATACAACACCTAGATCACCAAGGCTGTAAAAGACTTTCAAAATATATGTTATTGCCTTTACTAATCTGTAGCGTTTTCATCTTGATCCCAGTTTTATTTTTTGACAACTGCTGATGCAGTTGGTAACGTGCTGCTACTGTTTTGCTAGAATATGTAGTTAACTGATTTTTTTTTTTTTTTGAAGGCCCTCATGGTGCTTCCAGATAGAAAAAATGCACAAAAAGAAGATATTAAGATAACTAACTTCAGGAAAATGAGGCCACATCACCAGTCTGTGAGACCAGAATGAATAAGAAGAGGGGAGTGAAGTTAATTTCAGGATCTTCTACTGAGCAGATGAGACCTCAGAACCAGTTTAAGGTTGTGATACAAGCTGGCAAAAGCAGGAAGATGCTTAGCTTACTTCTTGTTGACAGAAGAGTATTCATTAACCACATACTGGTTAACCACAGGACTATATAACCATAAACCTATGTGTCACTCATTGCTGCTTACCAATAATTCTGCCTGTGTTTTTCTCTGGTGGTTCTGTTTCATTTACACTTAGTTTTATTAAGTGGTTTTATCATTTTTAGTCATAGCTTCTATATTATTCATTTGTATGCCTGGTTGACAAAGGTAGGTTTAGATTGTAGGTATTGTTAGTGAAATGCATGTTTTATGGATGTACCTGCTTTGGGATGATAGTACATCTATAAACTATAAAGGAGCAGGTGCCTCCAAGGCTGTCAGACAGCCTGAGTGAAGATCTAAGCTGAAATGCTGGTCTGGCTCAGATGCTTCAAATAGTCACAATGACAATTTGGTTATGGTCCAGCAGCGACAGCGAGATAGCATGTAGCCCTTCACTGACTAACACCAAAACCTGAGATCCTCTGGTCCCATAAAACTACAGAAAATCACACACAGCTTAGCTCAGGTCCATGACGTATGCCTCATATGTTTAAGCCAAACCCTACACCATCGTTCTCGGAGTCTCTGCTGATGGTGGAATGCTTAAAAGGCAATGTCCACACCAAGCTGTGCCTTGCTGAGTGCAAGAGTCCTTTCAGAGACTGCTTGCTCTCCACAATTCCCCTGACAGCTCCTATTATTAGCCACAGAACACCTGTTGAGCCCAAGGATTAAATTCTCCTGATGTGGGACAGAGATCTGCCATTGAAAATCCTCCTGACAGACATCACACATCCCCTCACATGCATAAGGAAAGAGCACAAGACTCACTGCTTCCATCGAGCCTTCCCACTTAGGGGTCTTAGGATGGGAAAAGTTGCCTGGTAATGTTTATTTTGCAGGAGCATTAAAGTCAGTACTCATTCAGAAAAAATAATGGAAACAGCAGCAGATTTGGCTAAGATACAACACTCACTTTTGAAAGAGAGACCAGAGATTGCCAAAGCGCTGGTTAGGGACTGGACTATCAACTATGCCTTCAAGAATCACAACTGAAGTCAGATTAAATCAGTTGCCCCCAGCTTCTTACTTCACAGGATTGCTTACAAGATCCCTTGATGCTGTGCAAAGCTGTAAGAACTTAAGAGCAAGTGCAGAGTACAATGCCAACCAACACCTGCTCAGCAATGCTGCTCCTCAAACCAGCAAAAGGCAAAGATCAACCTCCAGTTCCCAGGCATCTGAAGTTGCTGTGCCCATGCTGCATTGCAACACAGCAACATGAACTTTGCATTCAGCTGCATCACGTCTGTCTGAGTCTGGAAGCAAAGAGAACCATGAGCTCACACCTGGCAGGGAGAGGGATTTATGTCCCCCAGAACAGTCCTGCACTGGACTGATGGGCTCTAGAGGGAGCAATAGGCTTGTAAACTACAGCCCCTGGGAATGTCCAAGAGGAAATGAGGGGGAAAAAATGAATCCTAAGTGACAACATGGTCACATGAAGCTCCTGTGTGCTGTTTTAATCAACTCTAAGCAGAGTCACGGCCAAATGCAACTGCGGGGCCAGGGAGGGTGGTGGGAGGGGTTGGAGGGGGGAAGGCATGCTTAATATCAATGGCTGCATGGGCAGATGCAACGGGGAGTGGGAAGAGACAGTTCCGGGAAGATAATCCACCCCTGAAATACACCCCTTCACTTCAATCCATCTCATAACTACACAAAAAGATTGATTCCACTGAAGAAGGATCAACCAAATGAGGACAGAATGAAAACGGAGTTAAAGCTTCAGAGGTTTGTGCATGTGGAAGGGAGCCAACAGATGCTGTGATCACACTTAATGCATTTTGCTTTGGGAATTTTTTACTGCCAATCATAGGTGTGCCATTAAAGCTTTTGTATATACATATATAACAAGGGCAGATGGTTTTTAAACTGAGATAGGGGAGGTTTAGGTTAGATATTAGGAGGAAGTTTTTCACACGGAGGGTGGTGACACACTGGAACAGGTTGCCCAAGGAGGCTGTGGATGCCCCATCCCTGCAGGCATTCAAGGCCAGGCTGGATGTGGCTCTGGGCAGCCTGGTCTGCTGGTTGGCGACCCTGCACACAGCAGGGGGTTGAAACTGGATGATCATTGTGGTCCTTTTCAACCCAGGCCATTCTGTGATTATATGACTATGATATATATTATGATATCAATGAGATATACATAAGTCATTATGGTAAAATATTAGATAAAACAAAGAAGAAGGGAAAGGAGCCAAGAACGCTTGTGCTGATAAGGACAAATGGCATGGATGGGAAAATATGTAATAAAAAAATGCAATGCAAATTATATTACAGATGTTTCTATTATATTAGTGAGAGACTTCCAGATCTTTGTAGAAAAGATTACAATACCATTCTTTTCATTCAACTTTTTGGTATTTATGTACTCACTTGTATTAAAACACACTAAACGATCCATTGTACACATCTTTACAATTTCTAACAACATCTTCCTGGGTGTCTGCCAAAGTAAAGATATCTGCTGTGCTTTAATAACATATCAGACAGCATCCCTGAGCAGGAAGCAAAGCAAACACACCTATATTCACTCTCAACAGTTGACTGCTGTATACCGGGGCCAAATTTTGCCATTTTTCTCACTTAAGGCACTTTATAACTTATTAGCTGAATAATTCA